ATATCCGGATCAAACTGGATTTGCAAAGTAGGCCAGGGCAGGACTGGGCCCGGGGAGCACAGGGATGCCGTGAGCTCACCTGTGCCCGGGCCAGCACTGTCCAGCAGGGCGGCGATGCAAGCCACAGGTGAGAGCACCGATGCTCCAGTCGCCCCTCCAAGGAAAGAAGGCAGCAGGTGAAATCAGTTTTTACCCTGTACCTTATGTACACTAATGTCCAAATGGCTGACATTTCCGTGTGTAACTGGGGGAAGGTACTGATTTGGTATTTGGCATGGTTTTTTTTGCTTTTTGTGGGTTGTTTTTTTTTTTAACCAGGAAACAAACTCAGGACCTGCGCTTGCCAGGCAGGCGCTGTGCTGCTGAGCCGTATCCCTAGCCCGGTATTCGGCATGTTGAAATCCAGTGTGTATTCTGCGCTAGTGACACCTCTGACATCAGCCACACGTGCAGTACTGGACAGCCACGCGGGGATCGTGGCTGCCGAACTGCACAGGGTGGCTCTGCACTGCTGCCTGCCGAGGCCCCTCTGCCCACGGACCAGGCCGCCTCTTTCTGTCCAGGCTTAGAAAGCCCTTCCCCGTGACAACGACCCCGAATGTCCTGCCCCGGCCAAACCCTTCCCCGCACTCCAGAGAGGCCGAGCCCCAGCCCTACCCGCCCCTCCCTGCCCACCCTGCTCAGCGTTCCTCAGAGGGAAACTGCGTCCCCCAGGCTTCCTCGGGGGCTCTGCCTGTTCTCTCTACAGCCCGCAGCACCCAGCCCTTCCGCTCCTCCAGGCCAGCGCCCCACGCGGCTGCCCCCGCCCCGCCTCCCCTGCTGCCTCAGCTCAGCTGCCCAGGACCTTTCCACACCCAGGACCCAGCCTCTCCCGTCCAGAACCCGCCCCAGCACAAGGCACTCAGCACGCAGCAGCACGCTCACCCTGCCCGAAACGCTGGGCCTTGCAGCCACTGGCCCCGGGCTCCGCCGCGTCCCCTGCCACGTCCTTGTCCCCTGCCACGTCCTTGTCCCCTGCAGGCCAGGATCCCTCCCCCGCGTGCCGAGCTTCCTCTCCTCTTCCAGATGCAGCCCCAGAACCGGCCAAGGCCACCTCCTGGCTTCCTGCGTCTCCTCACGCCACACGGTGGGCCTCTCTGCCGTGTCCCCAGCCCACTGCCGCCGCCTCCCGGGACTGAGCCCTCCAGGCGGATGCTCTGCACCCACCCACAGTCCTGGCTCAGGCCCAGACCGGCCTGCGAAGTGCCTGGCATTTCCTACATCCCCCTTTCGGAGGAAGCCAGTTCAATCGGAAGGCCACTTGGAAAGTTTTCCCCAGAATTCCTAAAATAAGAAACCAAAGCCATAAAAGTCAAGAATCGGTCATTCAATTTAATTTTAACAAGATGAAGCAGACCTAAACCTACAAAAATACGTTTATCATACGATAAGAGCAGTACAAACTGAAGCTGTGCTGAAATACCGACTTCCTCCTAGCACACCGGTAAAGTTTTTAACGTAAGGACAGGTGCTGTGGACGAAGCTCTGGGGAGGACACATGTCCACACACACGGTCAACCATGTGGCTCAGGAGAACGTGGGCGAGGCATAGCGAAAGCATATGGGTTCACCTTCCAACCAGTTATGCACAAGTTCATCCTTAAATCCTCCAACATCTAGAACAAAATCTAGAACACGAAGAGTCATGCGTGGAAGAGCGAGTGCAGCGTCTCACCCACTGGGCGTCAGTTAGAGTTCTGCAGCCTGCGGTTTGCACAAGAGATTGTTAAGTGAAAGACACAAATGAGTGGATACTGCGTGTGATTTTTTTTGTACAGCAAATGAGAAATAAAATTTGCATGCAACTGTAAAAGAAGAACAAAATAAACAAAGAAAGCAACCTAGGGCAGGTCACTTATCCAAAGGACCTCCAGTTCCTCCCATGCCAGGAACACTTCCTGGCCCTGGCCCTGGCCCCGGCCCCGACCCCAGCCGCTGGAGGTCAGAGTCGGACTGTTCCACAGGCATGACAGGGCTCAGACTGTCTCTGCCCGTGCTGCCCTCCCTGGGACTTGATCCCCCACGTTAGCCTCGGGGACCCCATCCATGGAGCAGCAGGCTGGGGCCTCCCTGCTGCAGACCACCCACTGAGGCTGCACCTGCTGCCCAGGGTGGCAGTAGGGCGGCAGCTGGCTGTCATGGCCGCTGCTGTGTGACCTGACGTAGGCTTTCTAACAGAAACACAAGTTTTAGCGCCTGTTGCCACAGAGACACATTCCTGGCACCGGCTGCAGCCCAGGCAGGCTCCCTGTGTGGAGGCCGATGTGAGCGGGGCGGGCCCGTGGCCTTTCGCGTGCACGTGGACCCCACCGGTTTTCCTCCTCGGTCAGGGGACACTGCACTGCAGGGTGTCGCTGAGGGTCACAGCCGCAGGAGGCCTGTGCTTCCTGCTTCCCCGTAGTCGCCTGGGACACTTCCTGCCCCAGGGCTTCCAGCGCCCAGACCCCAGCACCGCTCTCTGCCCGCCTTGGGGACCTCGACCTAGGCCTCCTCCATCCTTGAGGGACCCTCCAGCCACGCCCAAGCACAGCGGGGCGCCGAGGTGCTTCCTTCCATGCAGGAGAGCTTGCAGCCGAGGGACCCGCACTGGTGTGAGGGAGAACAAACCCCTGAGGGAGATTTCAGCACGGTGGAGGGGGTGCCCACCGCAAGAAAGCAGCACAGTGTAAGCTGTACGCAGGACCCAGGGAGGCAGAGCTTCGCCACAGGGACAGGCATCCAGAGCAGAGGGCTGGGCGGAAGGGAGCGAGGGGGAGGAGGGTACAAGAATTAAAACGTCTGCTCCCCCAGATGAACAGAAGCATTACATACTGCAAACGTGTTCTCATAGATTTTTCTCTTAAACAATATAAAACACGGGAAGGGGCCGGGCCACACTCAGTGGCACTGCCCTGGGGTGTACACAGACGCCAACACAGGGGCGGGGGTTGGAAGCCACAGGGCACAGTGTCGCCCAGCAGAGTGATCGGAAGCCCGCACGGGTGCACGGCGGCTTCCAGTGACAAAACCTTACAGCCGCAGTGCCGCCCGGGCATTCCGGAGGACAGGGCTAACCGCAAGGGAGCGGAGGGTGTCTGCGGCTTCTCACACAGAAGGGAATTCACACGCTGTGGTCCGGGAGCTGCCCCTGGCATCCAGCAGTCCGTTCCCGCGGAAGGAGGTCTGAGCTGCACGCCCAGGGGGCCAGATCCCCTTCGCCCCACAGGCTGCAAGGAGGTCCTGTGCTTGTTTCCCTCACAGAACACAGAAGGTGCTCTTCTCCTGGGCCACAGGTCCAGCCTCTAAGTTCCTCTCAAAGACACAGCCAGACGGTGCTGCCCCGCATGACCTCCTGTCCCCGCCCCTGTGACCTGTGGCATGTTAGATGCCACCGCTGATTGGACGACTCCTGGAGATTTCACTCCCGACCCGCAGAGGAAGCCCCAGGCCACCCACACAGCTGTGAACGATGGCGAGAGGGGATGGGACAACTCCTGCTGTGCAGGCATTTCCTGCGCACCTCCCGGAAGTGGGGTGCTGGCACCTGAATTCCCTGGAAGGAGCCAGCAGTGCGGGCCACAGCTGGGGCTCTGGCGGCAGCCGGTCTGCCCCGCCCCAACCCTTCCTCTGGCTGCTTCTCCCAGCCCCCACACCACGCTCTCTGCGGGCCCAGGAACTCAGCCTCAGCCCGGCTCCCCTTCTCCCTACCTTCCCCCGCAACTTCGAACCCCTCCACCCTGCTGCCCTGGTGCCCTGTGCCCGAGGTCACCGGAGAGCGCAGGTGCTGACCAAGCTGCAGGTTCATGAGAGGAACGCTGCTCTGCCCTGCTGCAATCTGCAGTCGCCACGGGGCGGGTGGGCGGAGCCCCTGTCCTGTCCCGTGCCTGCCTCTTGGTCCCAGCCTCTGAATGCCTCCCCGGCTGGGCCCCCTCAGCACCTGGGGAAACGCCCCTGTGGGCCCGTTCACTTCCCCAGAACCACTCCTCCGCCGGCCCTCGCCTCTCCAGGCTGCCCCCCAGCAATGGCACTGAAATCTGAGCAGCCCTGGAGCCCTGTGGCCGCGCGGCTAGGCACAGATGGAGACATCAGCCAGCAGGGACACAGCCAGAAGCAGCCTCTGCCGGCCGGCCAGGGCTTGCCCAGACACAGGGCCACCAGGGGGAGGGGCGAGGGCAGAGGCCAGAACCCCTCACTGTTCCCGAATCCACAGCTCCCCCACTCGCACCTGGCTGTCCCCTACTTCCTGGGCAGTCCCAAACCGCAGCCAGTCCTGGTAGAGGGACATGAGGTGGACGCCTGAGGCTGGCAGGGTTTCCCACGCCAGGCCTGCTCGGTTCCACAGCCTCCGTGCTCATGCTGGGCAACGGGGGCTCCACAGGGGCTCACAGCAGCCCCTTCTCAGTAAGGACAGAGGCTTGGGGTGCATTTTGGATGCCCAGTGGAATTATTTTTCTTGCTCCATTAACATGTGTTAGGCTAACTGATAACACATTGGTTCTCAGACTGTGTGTGTCTTGTGTCTGTGTGTGTGTGTGTGTGTGTGTGTGTGTGTGTGTGCTCCATTCCCTGTTAATGCATAATAGAATCGAGCAAAGAACAATAAAGCTAAAAGTGAAAATACAGGGATCTCATGAGTGGAACAGAATTAAAATTAACTGAGCCGGGCGTGGTAGCGCACATCTGTAATTCCAGAACTCTGGAGGCTGAGGCAGGAGCACTGCTGCAAGTTCGAGCTCAGCTTGGGCTATGTAGTGAGTTTGAGGCCAGCTGGAGCTACACAATTAGAGCCTGTCTAAAAAAAGATTTTAAAAAATAATAATAATTTAAAAATAACAAAATAAACTGAGCCTGCATAATTCTTGACTAAGCAAAACCAATTACAGGAAGTGCCCTAAACCCTACCAAAACCGGAATCATAAGCAGAAACTGAAAGTGGGTCATCTCCTCCAAAGGCTTCTGTTAGAGGAAAGTGCAACTGAGCCTCGGCCAATCACCCTCGCCCTCAAACACGGGGATCCGATCTCCTGAGTTGAGCCAGTCACACAGTTGCTTCTGCTTTCACTTCTGCCTCATAAATACTGGCCTTGGACAATTCCCTGTGCCCATTCTGCGCTGCTGGCTTAGTTTCCCACAGTTCACAAACTGCACTTTTACTTATAGGAAGCCTACTTTTTCTTTTTTTTGCATTTTGCATTTTGCACTGCTATACTCACAAGAGGATCTCTTTTACTAATCTATAAAGCCAGGCAGAAGACCAGTGGATGCCTGCAAGCTGCAGCTTCAGAATGTTGATAGTAAGTGCCTCTCTTTTCTCTTTTTTTTTTTTTTTTTTTGGTACCAGGAATCAAACTCAGGACCTTGCGCTGGCCAGACAGGCGCTTGTGCTGTTGAGCTATATCCCCGGCGCGTACGTGCCTCTGGATTCCTACAGGAAACCCACAGTAGGTCCACAGCCATTGCGGGATACGTCACTGGGCTGCCCTGGACAGCGAAGCACCAGCTTTGGTTCTTTAGAAATCACAGGGAAATTCTCCCTTTCCACCAGCGTCCGTTTTCATGGGCAGCAGCGGTGCGTTGCAGAACACTGGCTGCTTCCTGGGTCCACAGGGCTCGGTGACAGGTGGGTGGCGGGGAAGGGAGGAAGGACCTGGTCTCACTCTAAGGCGCCCCTGAGCCTTCGCCCCGCGGCTCCAGGCTCAGCCCCGCCCCGAGTCACCTGAGCCTTCCCCGCCCGGTGCTCCGCCCCTCTGTCCCTCTGCCCTCCGGGCTCCTCCTTGGGGAGCTTTTCTACCAGCAGACACGCCTGCGTCCCGCTTCACCTCAGAGGCTTGCACACAAATCCCCGCTTGCTCCGGTGTGTGCTGTCAGCCCCACGCTAGGCTCTTCTTCCCGGGGCAAGTCCTGAACGCGTCATCTCCTGCCCGGTCGCCTCCCCGTCCCTCCCGGACTCCAGTGAGCCTGCGCTGACCACCGCACCTCCAGCCTTGCTCCTGCAAACGCCGGCTCTGCTCCTGCTCTGCTCCCTGGCCCCAGCCATGCCCTGCCCCCGCCTCACCCGGCCCCATGCCCGCCTGCCTGGTGTCTGTCTCCGTCTGTCTCTGTCTCTCTGTGTCTCTCTGTCTCCCTCTCTCCTTCTCCCCTTTCTTCTCCCCAAATCTCCCCAGCCCCCTTCCAACGCTCCCTCACCCGCGGGCCTCCACCCTCTAGCACACTGGGCTTTCCTGCTGTAGAGAACCCGCAGGGCAGCACCCTGTCACCAGGGTGAGCCGTGGGGAGCCAGGCTGTGAGGCGCGAGGAGCTGGAGCTGCACGGGAGGCTGGGAGGGGCTCGGGGAGACAAACCCAGCAGCAAGGCCAGGCCCTGAGCACAGACAGCATGTATGAGCTGTACGCGCCCCACCACGTGGCCCCTCGCCGCAGGTCTGCCCAGGACTGGTCTCAGAAAGACGCTGTCCCCAAGCCCCACTTTGAAACCTTGGTCCTCGGGCGCCCAGGAGGACAGGACAGCGGGAACGCCGTTCGGAAACAGCCGTGGGCGGCGGGAGGTTACAGCGCGGAGATCCTTCCCACCAAAGACGCGCTCCACACCCGGGCTGCGCTGCTGCTTATGCTTTCACTTCACTGGATTTTTAGCTCTTCCCACTCGGCTATGAACATGCCCTCCCCGCCCCCGTGATCGCCCTCACTGGGAGAGCGTGGGTGTGTGCTTGCGTGTGTTCACCACCAGAACAACGGAGGTGTCCCGAGCCGTGCTGACGCAGAGGGCAGAGGAAGAGCTGAGAGATAGGAGGAGGGTGCTCTCAGGGCCTGTGGCCACCAACGCCACAGCGTAAAAGGCACTGAACCAGCACGGGGCGCCTGGGACAGGCTCTCATCCCCCCGGGGCCCTTCCTGGCTGACCGCCGCGGCCTCTAAGTCATATTTACGGCCTTGCATCGTGGAGCGCGTGTGGGAGGGGAGGCCGTGCCTTGGCCCCGCGCAGGACGATGGGTCCCCCTCAAACTGGACACTGCACTGCTGCGAGGTGCTCCTGAGGGTCACAGGCGCAGGGGCCTCCTACACGCTGCTCCCCGGGTCCCTGTGGAACCCACTCGGGGGGACATCGAGTCACCGACTTTTCCCAAACCACAGGGACAGTGCCAATGCCTCCCCCATAAAAGAGCATGCCACAGCCCGGGGCTGTCCCCGCAGCCAGCTTTCTGCTCACTCACAGCGAGGGCCGGGGTTGACATCGGAGTCAGCACACTGCACAGCACTGAGGACTGGTCCTTGGGTGCAGCCTTGAGTCCTGACCCCGCCCCAGGGGCACCAAGGAGCCTCTGCCCAGACGCCAGCTCCCAGGGCTCTCAGGGCCGCTTTGTCCTCTCGCAGTGCACTCTGTCTCTGGACGGGGTGCCATCCACACCCCGCCCCACCTTCCCACACAGAGCAGTCTCCCTCTCTCCCTCCGTGTGACTCCCCAGCCCCCTACCCCGGGCATCCAGGGCCGGCCGGGTATTTACCTGAACAAGCCCTCTTCTTGCCCTGGGGGAGCATGGGTGTGCGAGAGCAGGTCCTGTCCCCGACTCTGAGGTCACATCAAGCCAGGAGAGGCTCTCCCCACGAGGCCAAGAGGAGCTGGGGTCCTGGGGAAGCCAGGGGCATGACCCAGCATGGAGCCCACCTGCAGCCCAGGCGTCTGGATTCTGGAGCAGACCTCACGTCCTGAGCCTTCATTCCACTTTCAGAGAGAAGTCCTGCGTATTCTCGCACTGCTTTCGGGAGGATTAATATCTGTCGCAGTTGCCTTGTGCGTAGGGGGACGTCAGGCTTTAGGAGCCAGAGGGAACACTGTGAGTACGCGAGGTCTCAGGTGGGTGGCGCGATGTCCCTCTGTCCCTGGCCACAGGCCGGAGGAACCCTGCGGGGTCTGCACTGCCCATGCCGTGGCATCCTGCATCTGGCTGTTCTCCTAGGACTTCGAAAATGACCGTGGAAGACATCACAGGCGACATGACCACAGGAGGCAGGACTACTGAGCCCCAGCGGGCACCTGAACAGAGCTAAGGGTTCTACGAGCGTCTCTCACTGGGACCGAATGGAGCCCTCCCCGTCCAGATATCCAACAGCACTCGCACCGCTTGCATCCTGGACCTCGTGCTTCCGTTCAGCCGGTCAGTCCTGCGGCCCTCTACCAAGGAGAAGACGGAAGTTGAGGGGACTGTGACAGCGAGGTCCCCTAGTCCTGTGCCCCCGTGTAGCTATGACTCCCACGCTCAGCTGTGTGCCGCAGCCCTGTGCTTTCTGCCCTTGATCCCTGGAAACACAAATATCTGCAGCCAATCATCTCTTTGCAACCACTCCCTCATTTAGCAAATAATACACCTGGTAGATACGTGGGGAGCACTGATGTGATATGTTCGGTCTTCTACTCCAACACATGTAAGCACTCCTGCCACAGTCTCCAGAGGGCCCGTGAGCGTTCTGAGGTGTGTGCCCTAGAATGGGCTCCCATGGCCGTCGTAATCGAGGAGTCTGCGGTTGGGAGTTAGGGGGAAAGGGCAGTGGACAGCTGGCATGGCGTGTGCCTGGCACCTGTACTCCACCGAGCGTGGGTACTGATCCCCAGCCACACGGCTTTAATCCTCTTGCCCGCCTCTGGGACACAGTGCCCAACACCCTCCACTTAGAGGAGAAGAGGTTGAATGTGGCTCACCATCTCAGAGGGCTCAGTCCAAGGTCAGCGGGCTCCAAGGAACAATGTCACGGCAGAAGAGTGTGGCAGAGGAAAGGTGCTTAGAGCAGAGAAACAGCTGCCGAGAGGAAGGCAACAGAGACCAAACACACCTTACACCCACGGCCAGGCCTCTGTGACCCACCTCGACACACCCAGAATGCTGCTACACTCATCCTCAGGGTGAAGCCCAATGCCAATCAAGTTGACACAGTGGAGATTAACTGCCACATGGAGATAGATATTCTCAGCCCATTTCACAGATGAGGAAACTGAGGCTCCAACGGAGCCCTCTCAGAAACACACTCACTGGGTCGTGGACACAAAACTGAATCCCAGCTCCTGACACACAGCCCAGCTGTCCTTCTACCACACCACGCTGCCCGCGGAGTTCCCTTCCTCCCTGAGTGGCTCCAACCCCGTTTTTGTAACCAAGGCAGGGAAACATAAAGGCAGTGCTCTGCTGGCTGGGGGCAGCCTGTGCTGGGGCTGGTTCCTGGGACAGTAGTGTAGCGGCCCTTGGAGGGACCTGTTTTCACGCTATCAGTGGGAGAACCTAGAGGCCGGATCCAATGCATGTTACCGAAACCCACACGGGGAATCAGTCTAACCCACCCGGCAATATGACACACAGATGCAAGACAAAGACAGAGAGAGAAAGTTCTACGATTGAGGGTCTCTGGGTAACCCACTATTCTCTGTGGAACAGAGGGCCCCAAATCCACAGCTCATAGCTTTCATGGGTATCAATCAAGGAGCGGGTGAGGGCCACAGCAGAGCACTAGGGAAGAGAAACTTTGCAGGGATGGGCTGTAATGACAACCAGATCAATTCTGTGCCAGGCACAAAGGCCTCCAGTAAGCGACACAGGGATAACTTGATATACACAAAGCTGGCTCCTTTACTGCCAGGAAGGTGTAACGCTATCTGAGTCCCCTGTCCTCAGCTGAGATGTCCTCTCACGTCTTAGCCCTGGAATCTCACAGGCTCCTGCTCAAGCCCCCATTCCAGCCATCCGTGGTGTTAGGGGGCTATTCTCGCCTGCAAGTCGCCACTTTGTTACTGCTGAGACTCACCAGCACCTTGGCCGGACTCAGTTACCGAAAACCGAGTTAAATAACCCTAAGTTACAGCAGGCTGATGAAGCCTGCAGTCTCCCAAAACAGTGGACGTGGACGGCGAAGGCTTAAATAAATGCAGACAATGGAGATAATTTTAGGGCCCCAGGGGGGACTAACTCTCTTCCAGCTTCGGTATTCTCTGAGTTAGCCAAAGACTGCTCTGGGCGGCACATATTTATTAAGTTTTCAAACAAAGGGAGAGGATACTCAAGAAAATCTCGCAGGACCTTGGGAGAATTTTCCCAAGTAGTAAATTATGTCAATCAGGAGAAACACCTTATCTTTAGGTTGGTATTTATTGTAGGAGTGTGGGGCCTGCGGCTGCTGTCTCCTTGTAGTTAATTGGGGTTGGAGCCAGACGTCCTCAGCAGCAGTCTCCTTGTCCTTCTGGCGTGACAGCTTCACAGGCCAATACAGCCCTCAGCGGCGACCAGTGACCCATAGAGATTTATTTACTATGAGTCAGCTGCCCATCTTTAGACAAGGAGCCTAAGCTTCGGACAACTCCCAAGGAAACACGGAAAGCCAATTGGACAGTACAAAATCCTGCTCAGAGCCGCTTCATAGTGGTCTCCACCACTCAGTCACATCCTTTTGGCCAATTAAGGAACATTTGCTTCTATACAGCCAGCTCCGCATATCTCAGCAAATACGGCAAATACGGAAGCAAGGGGCTTCACTGCTCAAGGAAACGTGGCTTGCCGTTTCAAAAGCATTTTATAATACAGAAAAAGTAATGAACAAAGGTCCCATCTACTGCCCTTCTCTCTCTCCCTCTTATGACTCTGACTGGGTCTAAGCCTATGGTGTCAACTAAAAGGAGAAAGGTGCTCAGAGTAGCTTAGGATGTTAAAGAAATACCGTCACAATTCACGTAAGGAAAATGAGTGCGTACTTGTAAATTCCTGTGCCTCTTACTGATGCATTCTTGAAATTCTGTCTCCGCAGTCGGTGAAACTTCAGACTTATTCTGCGGGTGGGACAGGTGTATCCTCCCTATCTCTGCTCTCCAAACCCCAGACCCTGTCCTGCAGAAAGCGGTGTCTCCTCTGTAGCCCGGGCTCACAACTCGGGGACCTCCCCAAGAGCAGGATTCACAGCCTGCCTTTCCCGTGGGAAGGACAGGGAGAGCAAAGGTGCAAAACACTCTTCCTAACTGCCTTTAGCTCAAGGCAGCTTGTAGGCCAAAGAGGCACATTCAGGTTTCCTTCAACACACTCAACCGTCCGGTGCTCAGGGGCGTCACCACGAGTGAAAGAGCCAACCCCAAAACACTACGTACCGTGCAACTCCACATGTGTGTTGCAGTCCACGAGAAAACTACAGCCCTGATAGAAGCAAACCCCACCCTCAAGAAGAGAAACCCGCACACCAGCCTCAACACCTCTGCAGTGGAGGGAAACTCCTCTCCTCCCAATTTGCTTTCTTAATAAATGAAGCTCTGATCAACTTTGGCTAGGGCGGGCCTATTGCTCTGAACCCTGGAAGCGGTAACAAGGAGGAACCAGCAACCCCAAGAGGAAAGACGAGCAAAGGGCTCACTCCGAGGGCTGCTCGCCTGCACACCCACATCAGCAGGGCGTCAAGTCCAGGGCTGGCTGAAGCTCACAGGTGGGAGCGAGGGGCTGAGCCGGGGCGCGGCCCCCGGCCCGTCCGTCTGTCCCTCTGCTCCTTACTCCCCTTCTCTAATTTTGCATTAGTGCACCTTTGGAGTGCAGAATGATCATGTGCGTGGCGGGGCGCTACTTGTCCCAAGGCACCTGGATGCTTTCTAGGTCCCTCCCCTCCCTCCCCTCCCTCTCTCCATCCCCTTCCCACTTGCAAATGATCTCCCCCCCCATTTCCTACCATCTATCTTTTACTTTGCTGTTTAATGTATTTATCCTTTGCTCCTCACTCCTAGACCTCAGCCTCCGATGTGATCATGCGTTGCAATCAGTGACCGTAGACAAGTTACCAGGAGAAAAGACGTTCAAACTTCAGACTCTGGGTCTCCCAAAGGATGTCTTCAAGAGGCCAGATGCTCCTCTGCACAACAGTCAGAGAGAAGTGGGGCCTGGGGCTGCCCGTTGGGGGGGCGGCAGGTTCGGAGAGAGTGAGGAGGAGCGGAGGTTGTCCCCTCAGCAGTAATTTATGCTGGCTGAGGTGGAAGCGTCGAGGCCAGCTGGAGGCCAGGGGTGGTGCCCGGGCCGGTGACATGTGTCCGGCTGATGTCGTGGACTTTAGGAGGCTCTATCTATCCTTAGGCAGAGCAGGGAACTGCGAAGAGCAGGAAGGGGAGCAGAGATGGAAGGCTGAGAAGGTCGGAGAGGCTCTGGGTCCTCAGCTCACAGGCCTTGGGGCCCCGGCGCCTCCCCCTGGAGTCTGTTTTCTAAGCCCGGGCTCTGCCATTTGGTCCTCGGTTTGCAGGGTTGCTGACATGGCAGATGAGACCAGCAGGAACATGCCAGGCATGGTGGCACTCGCTTGTGATCCCAGTACCCAGGAGGCTGAGGCAGGAGGATCACTGCAAGTTCAAGGCCAGCCTGGGCTACAAAGCGAGTTCAAGGCCAGCCTGAACTGCATAGGGAAACCCTGTCTCAAAAACAAACAAAAAAGGGGGCTGGGGATTTGGCTTAGTGGCACAGCGCCTGCCTGGCAAGTGTGAGGTCGTGAGTTCGATTCCCGGTACCAGAAAGAAAAAAAAAAAGGAGAGAGAGAGAGACCACCAGGAAGAAGGGCTCACTTTGCTTAGCTGTGGCCACAAAAGCACCCGGAAAGAAAAGGTTTCTGGTTCCCTGGCGTGTTCTGGTCTCCCCCAGGGTGGGCAGGGCAGACTTCCCCAGGCATCTGTGTGGGGCTAGGGGTCAGCTCGAAGTCAGGTCCTCAGAGTCCTCAGAGTTCTCCTGAGTCTCCTGTCAGCAAGAGCAGTGGGCAGGCGGCCGAGGAAGTCCCAGCAGCCAGGTCCCGGGTCTGGGAACACCATCTGACCCGGCCACAAGTGGAGTGGACCCACAGAGGCACAGGGCGGGGTCCCTGCTTGTACCTGAATTCACCAACAGCCAGCCAGGGCACATGGGGGAACCTGGGTGGTGCCAACCCTGCACTGGGGCACAGAGGCTGCTTCGGTGAGAACCAGAACCCAGAGCTGGTGTGCAAATTCTGCTCCCACCACCCGAATACCACTAAGTGTGCACACACACGTGTGCACACTCACCCCCACCTGTGCTCCACCCCTGAGGCCAGGGACTGCGGGCCTTGTGTAAGCAGCGCAGAGGAGCTGGCCGGCCCCTCCCGGAGCTTCACGTCGGCGGGGGATGGAGCCAGCGCGGGTCCCACCCAGCTCCAGCCCCCACGCTGGGAGGCCCCACGGTGGAGTAGACACTGAGCTCACTACTCCCCAGGGCCTCGGAGCTGGGGAGCTGTGACCCTCGGCGGGGAGGTGGCGGAGCTCAGCAGCACAGCGGCTCCTGAGCCCGAGAGCAGGAGGAGAACGTGTGAGCTCCGTGCAGAGGCGGCTAACAGGGCCACAGCAGCTCCGGGTGAGTACCGCAGCCCCTGAGGGGCAGCCCTGGGCCCCCGGGAAGGGGATGCCCCGAGAGGAGGGTCGGGCCCAGGTCTCAGCCCCCACTGGCACTGAGGGGCAGGACGGGTGGGGCCCCAGCTGAGGCCTGGGGCAGGGGTGGGTGACGGAGCGACCTCACCCTCTGCCTGGAACTGCCTGAGAGGACAGACTGCCCCCAGCGACCCCAAACCTGGCTGCTCCGGGGATACAGCCTCACTCCCCCACCCAGGGGGCCCCGCAGTGGACAGAAAGACCCTGCGGCCATCCTCAGCCAGAATCAGAGGCAGCTTCGGGCAAATGCTGTTTGGCCCCTCTGTGGCTTGAAAGGAAGGAGACAGGGACGGGAGGGGAGGGGGCGTCCCTGCCACGGCAGGGGAACTTCCATCCCCAGCAGAGGCCACGCCCAGCCCCGTGCGTGGGGCGGGGATGTCCCTGTCTGCCACCATCTAGCAAGGACACCCCGTCCCATGGGTCAGACTCTGGACAGGGGCAAGTCCCTGGCAATGACCCTTGCTGGCCAGGGGCTCGGATGCCCATGGGGATGCAGTGGCCAGTATCCCTGGGACCTGGAGCACTCACACCCTCCCACTCCACAGATGCCCATATGACAGGTGGGGAAACTGAGGCCCAGAGCAGCCACCAGCTTGCAGGGTGCGGCAGACGCTTGCCAGGTGACCCCTAGGCTTGGCTACCGGCAAATCTGCTCCTCCAGGGCCCTGCCGTGCGGGGCTCAGCTTCCTCTGCTGTGAAGGGGGCAGGGTGGACTCGCGAGGTCCTTATGAACGCTGCCAGGGCCCCCGGGCAGTGCTGTCCTCAGGGCGGCCCCTCTGGAGCTGGAGTCCGCCCTGTGCCACGGATGCCCCGACCGAGGCACAGTGGGGAGGAAGGGGTTTGGCAGCCGCCCCTCCCCCTCCCGCGGCCCCGCCCCTGCCCGGAACAGAGAACTGGGACACAGAGGGGGACCCCCGCTGCAGGGCTCTCCTGGGCCGGTGGACCCCCGCCCGGGGCCCCTGTGCTGCGCCTCCCTCCCCCGCTCAGCACAGGGCGCGGCCGCGGGACGGAGGCCCCCGCCGCCTCCACCCAGGCTGGTCCGGACCTCCCCGCAGCCCCGCTCAGAGCCTCGCACACCCGCGGGGAGGGGTGAAAGCCTGTTTTCAGCCCAGACTTCAGCTTGTTTACTTTTTTTTTTCCCTTTGGTCGGTGTGAAGGACTGATGGAACACACAGCTTCGCACTCACGCACCTCCAGGCCTTTTCTTAATTTTGAGACTACATTGTCTCCCTAATTGCTGTCACCGGGCTGGGCTCGCTTTCCGTCGTCCTGCCTCAGCCTCCCTCAGCGCTAGGGTTACAGGTGCGCCGCGGCACGCGGGCTGAGGCTCGAGCCTTACCCCTATGACAAACACGGCAGCCCTGAGGCCCGCAGCTGTCCCGCCCTCCGCACTGCCGTCCAGCACCCCAGCTGCGGTAAGGGCTGGCGCCGTGGCGTGCCAGTGGGTGGCAGTAAGAGCGAGGCGTCCTCTTGCCAGGCGGGCAGGCCCCGGTGAGCCGGCTGGAGAGGGCTCCGCCAGGCCCCCGAGCGCCCCCGAGCGCTGTGACACTTTCACACCCGCCTGTCGGCCGGAGCCTATTTCGGGAGGTGTTTTCTCTCTCCTGAAGATCAGGAGGTCTCTGACCCAGCAGGTTCTCGCCCTGGCCCAGGAGAGAGGCTGCTAATTATGCACGCCCTCCCTCCTGTGTCTTCACAAGGCATGATCAAAACTAGGGTGGCCGCTGCTGCCGAGCGCCCCCTGATGAAAAGGCAGTGTGAAAAGCAAGACGCCGTGTCCTCATCCACCTTCCTGCTCAGACCTGGCCCCGGACACCTCCAGCTCTTCCCCAAGTCAAAATGACCATGAAAGGTCAACGTTTTGAATCAGTTCAGGACACTGAAGCGGCCACAAAATTGCACCTAAAGACCCTCGGGAAAGACTTCTGGAGCTGCTGCGGACAGCACTCGGAGGGTGGGAGGAGTGTCTGAAGTGAGGGCAAGGATTTCGAGGGGTCATGGTGATGTGCCTTTTGCTGTAATATTTTTATTTGTTTGCGCATTCACCATACTTTTTTCAATCACACCTAAAATAAGACACAAGTCCTCCCAAGGAACAGTGTTCGGGACACTCAGGGTCCTGCCCTGTGGTTCCCGGGCCCTCCGTGGCACCCTCTCCTCTCCCACAACCTGTGGGAGCCTCTCTGTTCCCCAGCTGAGGGCCCAAGGCACCCCTTGTACGAGACCCGCACCAGGACAGGTCAGATGCCGCCAGACAAAGGGCTCAGCCCCTCTCTGACAGGACACACAGGCTGGGTCCTGGTCTCGGGGAGCAGAGGGTGCAGGAGGGGACGGGGAAGCTTTGCCTGGTCCTCGCTGTGCACTCTGGGGAACCACTTACCTTCTCTGGGCAGGGGGAGGTTAAGTACGCCGGGTTCCTCTCGGCCTGGGGGTGTGGCTCAAGGGCAGAGCGCTGGTCTAGCTCGGAGGCTCTGCACTTGATCCCAGCACTAGGGAGACAGAGAGAGAAAGGAAGGAAAGAGGAGGAGAGGAGATGGGGAACGGGAAGAGGGCCCTCCCGCGTCATATAGTAGCAGAGGTTGAGCCCCGGTCTCTGGGGTGAAAGAGACTAGATCAAGTCTCCACGGTGACAAGCCACGAGCCCTGGCCCGGACGACTTCCTCCGAGACTCGGCTTCCCCAGTGTGATCAGGGACTCCAAGCAGAGACAGGCCGGCCGTTGTCTGCACAGTGACAAGTGGGTGCAGATGTGTGACCACCCTGTCTCCCCAGCCTCGGTGTCCCAGGCACTCCTTGCACGATGTCCACACCTCCCGCCAGCAATGGGGTCTTTGTCGTCATCCCACCCAGCAATGCCAGCGGCCTCCGCCCACCTCCAGCCATCCTGCCTACCTCCCTGTGCCAGCCCCCAGGGGTCATGCAGTTCGAGGAGCCTCCGCTGGGGACACAGGCGCCCCGGACCACCCAGCCACCCGACCCGCGTCCCATGGAGACGTTCCTGACAGGAGAGCCCAAAGCTTTAGGGGTGAGACTAGCATCCTATGACCCCAAGCATCGGCACTGGTCAGGGAGGGGACAGAGGAGGGAGCCGATGGCGGGCAGATGCCTAGGGAAGCCTCAGCCATGTCCAGGCAGAGCCCCCTTCCCTGGGGATCACAGGGGTGCACCCACAGCCAGGAGGACCACAGAGCGGGTGACAGGGCTGAGACTGATGACACACCAGCAAGGGCGGACGCAAAGTTCTCCCCAAGGAGGTAGTGCCAACGCCGAAGCCTGGGAGTGAGGTGGGAGCCAGCCAGGATGTCAGGGAGCTGAGGCAGAGTCTCCAGGGACAGGGAGCTCAGAGGTGGGAACAGCAGGTCCCGTTCAAGGGAACACAGGAGGTTGACACGGCTGGAGTGTGATGGCCAGGGAGGAGGGGTGGAGGTGATGTGGCAGGGAGAGCCAGCTCCTGTACAGGCACAGTCCATGACAGACGGCTGCAAGGTCCTTTCCCGTCTCAGGTGGCCTCGAGAGCAGCCTCTGGAGGGGAATAAAAGGGTGGACGGATGGACGGATGGATGGATGGATGCATGCATGAGTGAGTGGGTGGAGGGATGGATAGATGGATGGTTGGACGAATGGATGGATGAGTGGGTGTGTGGGTGGGTGGATGGATGAGTGGGTGGATGGATGGATGGACAGATGGATGGATGAGTGGGTGGGTGGAGGGATGGACAGATGGATGAATGAGTGGGTGGGTAGATGGATGGATGAGTGGGTGGGTGGGTGGATGGATGGATGGATGGATGGATGAGTGGGTGGGTGGGTGGATGGATGGATGGATGGATGGATGAGTGGGTGGGTGGATGGATGGAAGAGTGAGTGGATGAATGGATATTAGATGGATGGATAGATAGATACATAGATAGGCACATGTTTGTTGCTTAAGAAAAACTTTAAGCAAATTAAAACTAACACAGTTTATTGGGCACAGAATGACCCATGAGTCTGCCAGCACTCAGACCCAGGGAGACTCAGAGAGCCTGGCCTGGCAACATGCACACGCAGTGAACTCTGACCCCAGGAGGCAGAGTGGAGAGATCACGTGACTACAGTGGCGCATCTGCCATGTGGATGTGGCCTGCTTTATTTGGGCACAGTCTGGTCGGTGGGCTGCTTGTGATGGGCTGACGCCCGCCTGATTGTGTTTGGCTGAAACCCAGCTGCTTGTTACAAAATGTGCTCCTCGGTGGGTTTGGGCTTGGTGGGCTTGGTACAAGTCAGGCTGCAGTCCACTATGTAGGACCCCAGAGCAGGAAAACCACCTGATGGCCACCTGCTGTACAGTCCAGTGGTCCTTCAGCTTCATTTCCCCGTGGGAAAGAAGGAAACAGTTTTGATGGTGATGGTGATGGTGATGGTGATGGTGA